GTAAGCCAACGGGATAAGAATTTTCAATTAGTATGTTTTTTAGTCTCTTTAAAACTTTGTTCTCTATATGTTGGATGACTGGATTAATTTATATTTTTTATAGACAATTAAATAAATTATAATAAAAACTATTGTTACTGGTTTTGCTTTCCACATAAAGTAACTATATTTTCATTCATAGTCCATTAATCAAACCATGACAATGACATATATAGTGACAATATAGTTTATTTTTAATAAAAAAATTTTATTATATTTATTATGGTGTGTTTTTGGAGAGTACAATATTAAAAACTGTAATCTCACGACTAGTAAGTAAGACAATTAACAATTTTAACTAGTTAATTTATTATTTTTTTTATAGATGTCTTGAAAAAGAATTAAAATCGAAAGCTTGACAATAAGTCAAAGAGTTTTCTTTGTCTTGTGGGGCCAAATAAACTGACTGCATCCTCAAAAATCATAACTTATATTTAAATCAACAGTCAAGAATACCACCATCTTATACATATATATATATATATATATATATATATATATATATATATATATATATATTATATATATATATATATATTATATGCATTATGTCCAAAATATATGGACATGCAATGTCCAAAAAAAAATAAAACTTTATTAAGACATTGTTTATAGGTTCCAACTCGAATGATTCTGTACAAGATTTACTGCTAAAACCAGTTAGACCCAATAATTCAGTTCCAAAACCACCATCTTCATTAAGTGTACATGGAAGTGGTTTCCCATATTTACCCTACGACGCTTTTCATTCATCGTCCGTAGGTAAGTTAGATAATAACTATTATAATGTTGACTAGTTTTATAATCCACTAGACTTTTGATTTGGAAGTTACTTAATTTTTTGTAAAAAAATATTACATGCAAAGAACAATTATTTGTTCATTTTTAGCCACTGGAATAACTCTACCAAGCGATTCTGTCAGAAGTAGGCTCTTTTTTGGCTCCGAATCTGAGGAAAACGTTTGGAGATCGTATAAAATTCCGTCTAGTTCTCCTCCTCCTCCACCGATAGCAACACCGCTACTAGAAATGGGATTTACCATAAAACATATTCAAAAGGCTCTACAAGAAACGAAATGTACTGGAGAACTCAATGCACACACCGTTAATACTTTAGCTACATGGATGTTAGAACATCCCTTTTTGGACATTTGTGAAGATCGTGGCGTTTTGTTGAGATTCAGGGAGAGATCTCGTGCTTTGGCTAGACCTCAAAGTTTGGAGAGTTCCGATATCGAGTTTATTCAAAGAAGAGGTGAGTAGTTTTATTTTTTATTAATATATCGGTATGAGAACCGAAGTCATCATCAATATTAAGCTTTAATTTACAAAGAAAAATGAGACCAATAAAAAATGGAACAGTATTAATTATTTCCCGAAGATTTTTTAAGCAATAACTTTACAATCGTGTTTATCTTGGCACATTTAATCTAATCTAGACATTATTTTTGTAAAAAGTTTGAGGATAAGTGGAACCAAGGTAATGCATCGAATTTTTTAGGCCTGTCTTATACCTTTTTTTGTAACAATATAGCAACTGTGCTATTCCATCACGTTCAAGTTATTCCCTCATTAAAACCATCGTTAAAAATGTTCACCAGTTGTTGGACAATTTTCATCATCATCACTGGCTCGACAACCCTTTTTGTATCTTGGCCTGTTCAAGGATTCTTCTCCATTCTGACCTGTTTCGTGCTTTTTTTTTTCCAGTTTTTAATTTTTAGTGTTGTTATATCATTTTCTATTTGTTCTACGTATCTCAGCTTCGGTCTTCCTTTTGTTCTTTTTCCTACTGGCACTTGTTTGAATATTTTTGTTTGGTATTTCGCCTTCTTCCATTCTTTCCACATGTCCAATCCAACGTAGCCTTCCTATTTTAATGAATGTTATGATATCCGGATCCTGGTATATGTTGTATAGTTCAAAGTTATACCTTCTCCGCCAAATCCCGTTTTCTTTTGTGCCCTTATATATGTGTCGCAAGATTTTTCTTTCAAAGGTGGCTAATAACGTTTCCTCCCTTTTAGAGAGTGTCCAGGTTTCTGAACCGTATGTGAGTACCGGTCTTATTAAGGTTTTGTATATTTGGCATTTTGTTTTTCTGGAGACGTTATCTGATCTTAGTTGCCTAATTAAGCCATGGTAACATTTATTGGCAATAAATATTCTCCTCTTCACTTCCTCTGCAACGTTGTTATCAGACGTAACTAGGGATCCTAAGTATGTAAAGTTTTTTACCGCCTCAATGTTGTATTCTCCTATTGTTAAATTTGGCAGCTGCCTTATTTGTGCGTTTTTATTTGCAGGCATATATTTTGTTTTTGTCTGATTGATTTTAAGACCACTATTTTTTGCAGTTCGTTCTATTTGAGTGAATGCCTCTATCATTTCTCTTCTTGATCTTGCGATTATGTCAACATCATCTGCAAATGCTAGTACTTGCACGCTTTTATTAATTATTGTTCCTCGGGTTATTAACTGTTGTGTCTCTTATTATTTTTTCAAGTATGATGTTGAATAATATGCATGATAGAGCGTCTCCCTGGCGTAGTCCCTTCTTCACATCTATTGTTTCCGTTAATTCGTTTTGTATCCGGATTTTACTTTCTACTTTTAGTGTTTCTTTTATCAATTCTATTAGCTGTGTTGGTATATTAAATTCTTTCATTGCTTTTGTTAGGAATTCTCGGTTTATATTGTCATATGCGCTTTCGAAGTCTATGAAGAGATGATGTGTGTCGATGTTATATTCACTTGTTTTTTCAAGGATCTGTCGCAGAACAAATATCTGTCTATTGTTGACTTCTGTCTACAGAAGCCACATTGGTGTTTGCCAACTATTTTTTCAGCGTATGGTCTAAGTCTTTCATACATTACGTTGGACATTATTTTGTATGCCGCATTCAACAGCGTGATTCCACGGTAGTTTTCACATTCTAACTGGTTTCCTTTTTTATGTAGTGGTACAATAATACCGCTATTCCACTCCTTTGGTAGCTGTTTATTCAACCATATCTTTCTTATCAGCTCATGTATGGCTTTAAGTAATGCGTCTCCTCCTTCTTTCAGTAGCTCCGATGATATTTGATCCGATCCCGGTGATTTATTGTTCTTTAATTTGTCCACTGCTGTTCTAATCTCTGCTATTGTTGGTGGACTCTTTTCTCTGTTGTCTGCTTGGTGTAACGGTATATCAGGGTTCATCTCCGTCCTATTCACCCCAAGCTTTTCCTTAAAATATTCTGTCCATCTTCTAAGTATCTCTTGCTGTTCTGTCAATATATTACCCTCCTTATCTTTACACACCGTTGTTCTCGGTTTGAACTCTTTTCTGCTTTTGTTGAGTTTCTGGTAAAATTTTCTTGTCTCTGTTGGTTTACTTAGTTCTTGTAGTTCTTGAAGTTCTTTGTTGATATATTCTCTCTTCTTTCTTCGGTGAATTTTTCTTTTCTTCTTTACGTAGTTGTTTATATTCTTCCTCTGCTTGTCGGGTTCTGTGCCTCTGTTGCATCTGTAGATATGCTCTGTTTTTTCTTTCTGTTATAGTTTGACATTCTTCGTCAAACCAGTGATTCTTTCTTGTTCTTCTTTCTTTACCTTCCATGCCCAACACCTCTTTAGCTGGACAATGAGTTGAACAATTTTGGATTCCCCAATTTTGATTGCTTCAATTTTCTTCACTAGAACTTCATTGTTTTTCAGTTGGGAGATGAGTCTAATTTTATTTTAGGTTATTTCGATTCTAAATATACCCAATTATGAGCGTAGGCACCTCTGTATTGATCTGTGTTGTGTTTACCATTGTCACACAGATATACTGAAGCTGCAATTTACCATCGTCCCATGACAACTAAGTGTTCCATAGTACCACAATTGTAGCGAGTGACTCATGTTATCAATGTAGACCTTTTGCGGGTTTGAAGGGAAAGAAAATCGACGAGTCATAGGTGTGCGGTTATACTTGCTACTTCAATTTTTTTATTTTTATTGGAGCCCATATAAGTTCTATCGAGTTTAACTCACAATGGTATGGCGGCAATCAAACTAAAATTACGCCTCGTTCTCGAGCCATTTCATCTACTACATGTTTAATACTCCTGACCATCCATGAACATTATAATGTTGTTCTTCGAACAATTCTTTAATGTATTCTTCCCATCTTTCAAGGGTGTAAGTTGCTTATTCGCTTTGTTATTAAAATAAAATACGGGATATTATAAGTTATTTAGAAAATTATAAAATCAAAAAAATTATCAAGGTTATTTTGGAATTGATTCTTATTTTTTCAGGTTTAGGTCCAAGGAGGCGGGCCTTCCTAGAGCACTTCTTAGAGCGTGTCGATAGAGCGTCCCATGATAGAGTTCGAGAGAGACAACACGTAAGAGGTGAAGCTCATCCCTTGTTAAGAAATTCATCCGTTGAAGACTCGAGCAGCGAAAATGCAACTCCTACATGTACTGAAGCTACAGAGATTAATAAAGTTAAAAATGCTTCATATGTCAATGTGGAAAATAACTGCGCTATTTGCCCTTACTGCAAGCATCTGTCGCCGTATCTGGATGCACACCTGATAGCCTATCATCCAGGTTGCAACACATTATGGGGACAAGGAGTGTGTGGGTACTGTACAGACGGATATTACATCCTCTGCTATAAATGTAAAAATAAATATTTAAACAGCAATAAATCTGAGAACTACCTTCATCTACAAGCTCCCGATATTATTTTCAGTGAAGATAATATGACAGAAGCTGATATTCAGCTAACTAAGTTGACACTTCCTAACTGTGACGATGCGGAACTGATGGCAAAATATTTGGGAATGAACGATCTGAAACATTCAGTTGAAACATTTAGTTTAAGCAGATTTGATCCTTTAGGGGCCAATGCTGTTCCGAAAATGACCAGTGATAAAGAAGATAAGCTTGAAAATAGGAGATAAGTCGATAGGAAATCAAGCGATGATGCTAGGTTCGTCTTTTGAGAGAATTTTAGCTCTAAAACACTTAACCATTTCCGTGCATATACTTCTCTCTAGAACCATAATCCTCAAAGTACTATCAATTCTTTCACTGAATACAAACTATGCTTCGTTGGTTAGCTGCTTAGAATCTATAGGATTGTCGGATATAACGAAAGTGGTCCGTTTAATGACTTTGACTGCTATGAACCGTGTTGAAATTAATAATATAAAAAGTAGCGAAGACTTTCCAACCTTCCAACTGCCTAAGGCATTCTCTCAACTAATAACTAACTTATCTAGCGCCGCCAGCAGCTGTTTGAGCTACCTAAGTGTCAGCATTGCAGCTCTTGCTCAAAACGAGATCAGTTCCTCGAACTTGGTGGTAAATATGTGTACGAAAGATCTTATAATGTACGCTCTTGGATATTCCGCACCGAAACCAGGCTATGCCGTAACTCAAGCTTTGGTAAATATACTATCTACACACGGTGGCTGTTCTTTGATGGATATACCTAAAGAAGAAATTGCGCAAAGTTCTCAATCGGAAGCTAAAGCTATTGGGCCTCTTACTTTGGTTAACGCATTGTCTGCTTTTATATTGTCCAATAAAAGTTGCCATAACAGTAAATTATGGGCTGCGCAGCAGTTGTTCAAGGTTAGTATCAACATTTTAAGCCACAGTATATTTTTTATTTCTCATCTACATATTAATATATTACATTTCCATAGTCTTTATGCCATGTACAAATTGTTTACTTGTAGTGATTTAATTGTTTTTAATAATATGTTCAGATTATCTGTTCTATTCTATATATTTTATTGTTTTTGTATAATTTATTCAAAATAAAAACAAAAAAATAAAATGTTAAAAGTATTACAAACTCTAATGGAGGATGTCCAGGTCTTGTCCTACCGGGAGACTGAGATCTCGGAAGCCATGAAGAAGCCATCAAAGAGGACGTCGCAAGATAAGTCTAAAGTAAATGTTCAAAATGTCCACCTTCAACGTCTATACAAGTTTGTAACCGATATTCAAATGACCTAGCCACATTTCTTAACATTTGTAAGTCAATTTTATTAAAAGCTTATCTTATTCTATTTTTCATATCACCTGGCATTGTTGGAGGCTTTTGGTATACAAGGTCTTTTATATAGCCCCACATGAAAAAATCATTGGAGAATTCCGGTGATCCAGGTGGCCAAACAGTTGGTCCTTCTCTGCCTATCCACCTCTCAGAAAAGTTATTATTTAAATGATTGTGAATAGGAGCAGTGTGGTGACCTGGAGCATCGTTGTGTAAAAACCACGTTCGTTGTCAAATATTAAGGGGTATAATTTGCAGTATTGGCAAATGATTATTTACAAAATCCAAATAAATGGCACCAATCACACGATTATAGACCACCTAGTTTGACTACGAGTGTTAACAAAATAGGAATTACTTAATGCATAGTAATGAACATTATGCCGATTCACCGTTCCATTTTTGTGAAATGTAGCCTCATCTCCAAAAAGCACTAATCGAAATAAAATTGGTCTCTTTGCAGTTACTGCTGAGACCTTTGACGAAAAGCTAATCTGCTTTGATAATCATCGACTGTCAATTCTTGATGTAACTATGCGGTAAGGATGCAGTTTATATTTGACTAATGTCATGTTGACGTGAAATTTCACGAGTGCTGATGTGGCGATCTTCAGTAGTAGCTATCAGTACATCATATTCATTTTCTTCACTTAGAACAGTTTTGCTTCTCTCATTTTTTTCATATACAACTGATCCAGTACGAACAAAAAGATCCATTAATTTTTCAAAAGCTCTTGCGTTTGGTTTCCTCCGTTTAGGTTACTCTATCGTGTCCGGACATGTCATTCATAAAATTTCGGCCCAGTATCGGGCTACGTCGGCTCCATCTTTGTTGGCGAGCCACAAATCTTCAAGGGTACATCGATGAGAACAGTTTCTGCATGTAAGAAGATGTTGCATATTCTGTGTTTCTCCACAGTCACAGTTCACATCATCTTGGTCTATTTTCCCCCATTTTGCCATGTTTGATTTTACTGTAGCGACCCCCGTTCTTATCCTATTCATAGTTTTCCACATTTTAAAGTCTAGGGACTGGCCGGTCCATTGAACCTGGGGAAGAGGAAAATACTCAGGCGAAAATACTCCTGCACTGTTCCAAGGAAGCTTTTCCTAGATTTTAGTCGCTTTCGTGGTTTTCGAGCTTTGAATAGGGCATGTCGCTTGTACGCGATCTGTTTAATTTTCTCTATGTTCTCTGCAACGCCTCTGCGTCTTGAGGGTTCTGCAAAACCCGTTGCTTTATATAGATTTGAAAGTGGCGTTGGTTTCATGCACTCCGTTACTTTCCCTCTCGTTTTTATGCAATGTTGTATGTAGGTGAGGGACCGGTCCAAAGTTACTCCAAGATATATAGGTTGGTTTGTGTGTTCTCATGTATTACCATTCCACACAATTTGGAGTTTTCGCTTGGCTTCCTTTGCGCGAAGGTGGAAAGCGCAGACTTGGGGTTTGGAGGGATTGGGTCTGAGAGAATTCTGCAGGTAGTACGCTGTCATTGTTTTTAGGGCAGTGTCGAGTTTCTCCTCCACTTCTTCAAAACTATTTCCTTGAGCAAATATTGCAAGATCGTCAGCATAGAGGAAGTGCTTGGTTTCGGTCGGAGTAGGTTGGTCGTTTGTGTATATATTGAAGAGTATTGATGCTAAAACACTTCCCTGTGGGAGGTCGTTTTTTTTGAACTCTCCACGTACTTTACCTCCAGCATAACGAAAAAACGTCTATTTTGCAGTAAGGAATATACGACCTTTCCCAATTGGTGGTCATTGAGAGTGTTGTATAATTTGCGGAGCAATGTTTTGTGCCTTACTGTGTCATAGGCTGCTGTCAGATCTACGAAAGCAGCCCCTGTTATAGGTTTTTCTTCAAAGCCCTCTTCAATGTGTTCTGTTAGTGCGAGGACTTGACCGGTGCAAGATTTGCCGGGTCTGAATCCTCCTTGTTGTGGGATGAGGTGCTTGTCGACATTTTTTTCTATTCCTGCGAGTATGAGTCTCTCGTGTAGTTTAAAAAAGTGAAAATAGCGAAATAGGTCTGTAGCTCCTGGGATTTTCTGGGCCCTTTCCTAGTTTTAACAAGGCTATTACTTTAGATTTTCTCCATGATTTTGGAATTTTGCAGCACGAGTTATAAAATTGCAAGATCCAGTTTTTTTGCTCCTTGGCCTAGATGCTTTATTTATTCACTGCATATATCATCCACACCTGCAGCTTTCCCGTTTTTTAACCTGTTCATACCGTCGTGGAGTTCTTTTAGTGTAAAAGGAGTTCCTAGGTGGTTTGTCGCCGAATCCAATATTCTCCTAGTGTTTGAGTCCTTATATCGGTTTATGTAACTGGTCGTGATATATTCTGGATGCAAGTAAGCAATTTGTCCAACTTTCTTCTAATACCCAGATCATATCTGTGAACTCTTCTACAGAACAATAATTTTTAACAATAAAGATAAGCCACACAAACCGATTAAAAAATTAATAATATGAAAACTGTCATTTTTTCAAAGCCTAATATTTTACCTTTGGAACTGACAAAAAGGGCCTTTTACTTATTTATAACTGCGCGTCACAATCGGCAGTTAGGAATGTTTTATTAAAAATTCCTGTCTTAAAATACTGTTGATATACCAATCGAGAAATTGTTCCATCAATTGTACCTATATTGTTTTGCTTTCTGTTTTGTGTGAGTTATTTATAGATATAAAAATAACTAAAAATACCTCGGAATATCTCGGAAAGTAATGAGTTTAGGTATAGGGAAATGCTATAAAAAAAATGAAAGAGTATCATAAATGCAATATTTCTAAAAATTAAATATAGTGTGATCCATTTAAAAAAATTGAGAAAATCGTAATTTTGTTTTGTAGTTTACCCTGTATACAAATTTTTGTCAATGATTTCAATTAAACTTAATTTAAAAACTACAGTATACCGTTTACTTTATTATATAAAGTAAATAATTTTTTATGCATTACTTCTTCACATGTTGTTGATTTCATAGGGATTTCGAAATATAAATGGTCATAACTTTTTAAATACTTTTTGTAGTAATGCAAAATCCAATACTATAAGAACAATCAATATGAGCAGAATACAAATTTGAAACAATATATAGGGTGTCCCATTAAAAAAATTGAATGTTTGCTATACCACGTAGTTATTAATCACCCTGTAGAATTCCGCATATTTTCCAAGTATGGTAATTGCCTAGATTATACAGATTGAACGAGATAAATTCGGAACATACGAAATATCTGTCTTTCGGCTCAACTCCGCTTTAGGTGGTTGGCCAACAAAAGGTTTTCAAATAATTATAATATAAAAATCCAATATTTCAGCGTGCTGCTGGATTCTGAACTCATTCAAGAACAAGTCAAAACTCCACCCAAATAGGTTGCCCCGCCCATCACGTATAAAAATTAAAAGCTACACATAAATCTAGGATTTTATTATACTGCCAAACCACCTATTGCTTCCTTAGGCAAGCCCCTCTTTCGTTTATCTAAGCAGTCAGATGGATATTTTGAGCGGTGTGGCCAATCTCGGTCCTCTAGATGTTTCTCAAATAAGGTGTTAACCATAAAATATTTACAGAAAGAAAAGAAATAACTACAAACCATTAAGTTTATTTTGTTATTAGTCTGTTGTAGTAGATTGCTAAATACAATGAAAAATATAGCCAAATATCCGATTTATTTAAAGATACGAAGAAGATATAACTCTCAAAAAGATCCGCAAATCGGATTATTACACGGCGATTGGCAGCATTGACTTTGGGCGGCACTATAGATTATAGTGCGTCCTAAAAGGAGACAGATAGTTGAACGATATTTTATACAATGTCTATCACCGGTTATGGATTTATTTTTGTCCAAGTTTTGTATTGGTCCACTATTTCAAATGCAGTTCAAACAGACATATATTAAATTGTATGATCCGTTTTAAATTCGTTCAATCTGTATATATAAAAAGCGGATAAAAATCTGCTGGACAAGTAATTGCGATATATGTAATAATAATATTGTTTTAGTGTCTTGCCACCAAAATTCAAATGATGAGTGGAAGTAGTTCTGATCAAGTAAATTACGCTGACTTATCCAGTTTCATGCCCAAACAAACTTCCGTATATATGGAAGCACACGAAAACAGAGTATCATGCCTTGCTTGGCATGAACAATGTCAGCTATTAGCTTCATGTGGGTATGATGGAACCGTCAGGTTATGGACCGTTGAACCTAAAAAGACACCGGTTCTGGATTCTACTCTAGTATTTCATATGTCTACAGATGTTTTCGGAAATGAGTTACTAGGCCATCTAATTGGTCATCTAGAATGGTCGCCGACGGGCTTGTATATTGCAGCTGCTCTTAACAATATCATCAATATTTGGCCTTTGAAAAAATCCGAAAATACCAATAGTTATAGCGATTGGTTCATTGATGATCAAAAAGATTTTATACTTCAAATGAAGTGGCCCAAACATAAAGGGAAGCATCAACAGGATAAAGATTATCTATTGGTTGGAAAACTTCACGGTTCAGTGTCTTTGATTACATTAACTGAAGGTAATAAGCAGGTGGAAGAACTTCAAAACTTCTCGATGCCTGTAGGTAAGAACTTAATTTGTCCATGCTATATATTTTGTTGATTTATTTGTTTACTAATTAAAAATTATATCCAAAAATATTCGAAATATTTGAAAAAGTATATAAATGTTAATTTAAATATATAGTAATAACTATTACTGTCTTGAATGCTAAAATACACATTTGCAACAATTTTTTTAATCTTATTTAGTGTATATGGCAATTATACTTCTTACAGTCTGTAAAACTAGAAAAAAAATTAGTAAACCAGAACTCCACCATAAACCGCAAGTACCAAAACGTGAAGTAAAGTAAAATATTCAAATTCGTGAAACTTTAACTCAATAACTTCTTTTTCACTTCAGAGTTTAATCAGTCCAGTATTTTTCCATTATGTAATCTTTTCCTGCTTCTTATTTCCTTTTTTTCTTTCCAATCGTCTCAAATGATATTGAGAAAAAAAAAAGAAAGGTTTTGTTTCATTTTAATCTAATATTTGATATTCATGTTTTAGCGTTATCTTAAGCTACAACTCCTTGAATTAATATAACAGCAATTTATAATGTTAATATCGTTTTTATTCTTTTAATAGTGCCTAATTTTGTTTTAGCTGTTGGTCACATTGACTGGCATCAAGAAGACGGACCGTTTGCAGTTGCTTACCTTGATGGAACAATAAAGCTAGGTTGGATTGAAAAAGAGTCTCATATAATCGCTTGCAAAGCCCACGAGAATGGCATCAATAATATAAAATGGGATCCCAGAGGCATTCTTCTCGCTTCCATTTCTCCTGACAATACCTGTAAAATATGGAAAATATCCGACGACGACAAACTTGTTCTTTTACATATGTTAATTGTTTCTCATAAACCTACTAGTCTGCTTTGGTCTCCTCTGGTCGGCGAAGGTCCGATGCCTTTGCTTATAGCTATTGGTACTGATTACGGTACCGTGAATGTCTGGAAGTTGCCAAACGAAGAAAACAAACATAACAAAGTTCCTGTACTGGTCATGAATGCTCAAGGCCATCCTAACAATAGCGTTTCTAGTCTCAGTATAGATAAAACCGGTTTGTTGCTTGCAAGTGGTTGTCTAGAAGGGCTCGTTGGAGTCGTGAATATTTGGTCCCTACATGACGGAAGTCTTGTACACACTCTCACAGGTATTTATGATTTATATATATATATATATTATATATATATATATATATATATATATATATATATATAATATATATATATATATGTATAATTTATTGTTTTTAGGAAATGGAGGCGTTTACGCCAATGGCATGTGCTGGTTAGACCCAAACCACTACCTCTCAGTAGCCTTCAGCAGATCAAAAACATTTTACATACTTAACTATAGCCCTCAGGACCTTATGAAGAATCTTCCCCTTGCATCGGTAAGATGTACGCTGATGAAAAAAGGAGTCCGTGGACTGAAATCGGCTCCGTACTTTAAAATTTTTGCAGACTTACTACCTACAATGCTTCGCGATCAATATAACACCGAGAAACTCACCGTTCAAACGGGGGCACATCTTATGCATTCAGTTTATCTGAAAAGTTTAGCTTCGGTGGCACTTTTGTTGGACTTGGACAAAGTTGTTTGCTACAAAATACGTCCATTTAACAACAAGATTGATTCTGAAATTATTCCAGATATGTTTTGGTTGCATACGTTCAGTTTAGCTACCAAAATGGCCGATAATTTGATCAAGAGAACTGAGTTAAGTGAAGAAGTTATTAATTTGAGTAAAATTTTGGACGAAGATGTCCAACCGTCTGCGATACAAAATTTGGTTTGGAGTTTGAAGCAAGACGAACAGATAATGCAATGGTCAGCTCAGAGGCCACAGGATTGGCAGTTTGGTGGTAGGTTTGAACTTTAATTAAATATTTGACGTAAATATTATCCGGTAAATGTTATATATTAAGACATATCAATTCATGTTGCTTGATATTTAACCTACTATTCTCATTAATATTCAAATTAATCACCATGCGAGTTTACTTTTGAGATACCTTACCTCTTGGTTGGATTAGCCTTGCTCATTTTTCTACAATAAACAAGCATATTTGGCTTTAACTTTATTACATTTTCACGTGATTTGTTAAGTATTGCACTTTGATATTTTTGCATATTGTAATATGCTACCTAAAGTTACATTCAAAACTTGCTTGGTTCATTTCCATAGCTTTTAAATTACATATAAATCTAGAGTTTCTTAACTGTCTTATCTTTAACTTCAATTTAGTAAAAATCCCTTAACTTACAAACGTTGTCCCCTTTTCTTATTGGCGACGTGCAAGTACTTGGAGCGGATACGAGAAACGATCGTGCTCGAGTAGCGGAGAAATCTTGCATTTTTTACTGCACAGTTCATAGATTTCATAAATTCATATTGTCAAATTGTCATATTTCATATTCGTTTATTTACTTACACCTTCTGTCACTGAATAAAATGGGATTTAGGAAATGCTATGTTATAAATTGTAAAAATACAACAAAAAAATTGTCAATTTAAGTTTTGCTCGTTCCCAACTTCGAAGCACAAAGCTACTACAAAGAGAAAAGTGGATTTATATCATAAAAAAGCATAAGTAACATAACCTAAATTATGCATTATTCTTGCGGCCGATTTTAAAGTCAGTTTGAAATAAATAATAAATAAAAGTTTACTTTTAAGTGTAAATTTTAGTTTCATAACACTCACTTAGAGTTCATTTTAACCCAAAAATTAAGTTTAATGTTTAAATTTTATTTTTTTGAAGTTTACAAAAATGCATCAAGTTCAAGTTTTTCTGAAGATGCATTAAGATATATTCGCTGTCCAAAAGTTTACAGGGAAATAATTAATTCTTCAACCCAATATGATGATATCATGGGCTTAATCTGCTAATTTATGCATTTATGCATTAGCATTATTTATGGTAATTTATTTTTCTTAATTCTTCTATTCTTTTTTGACATTTGCCACTACTAAAGCTTTTCCCTTTGACTCAGTGCTTGGTTGAAAAGTTATTTGGTGATTTACTTTCTCAAATCCAGTTTATATTATTGCATCTATATTAACAGTAATGCTGTAATTTAATAATATATTTATTTGTATTTACACTACATACAACTTTTACCTTTTAATAACATACCGACATAACCTCAATCTTACTTTTTCTTCTTATTCTTTTTTGGAGCTACGTCCTTGACAGTTATCCGGTAACCTCGATCTAACATGAAAGCGCAGTAAATTTTGCTGATTTACGACACCAGGTGTCGCTGTTCCGAACTTGCACGGTCCCCAATAAATAACCGACTTTTTTAGGTATACTAATAACTCTATGGTTTTTTTGGCCAGGTAAATGCAAAGCCTATCTATGGGGTTCAGATCGTCACGGTCAGCTAGCAGAACTAGGCTACAGTGCATCCATTCCTGCACAAGTAGAATCATTTGCGATTGCCAGAAAGATTGTCTGCGGTCAAAACTGTACTTTCGTCATCGAGGCCAACGGAACAGTTTTGGCGTGCGGTGAAGGCAGCTACGGACGACTAGGACAGGGTAATTCAGACGATTTGCATTCGTTGAGCGTTATTTCCAGTTTACAAGGTTTCGTTATTGTGGACTTAGCTACGAGCGTCGGTTCTGATGGACACAGCTTGGCTTTGGCTGAGAGTGGAGAAGTTTTCTCTTGGGGAGACGGTGATTATGGTAAGACAAGTATTTTATTAGTGTATGTTCAATTTAATATACAGAATAAGCCACTGATATTTGCCAATTTTCGTTAGATTTTGTGAAAATGCTGAAACAGGTCAATTATTCAAAGGGGGATATATTTAAACGATACAGATTTGTGTCAACCATTTGTCAACCCCCTCTCCAGTTTCACAATCACTTAAGTTTAAGTAGGAAATATATATTTTGTGTGGCACATCATAAGAGAGATGATGTATTCAAAGATCCATGATTTTTTTTTACCATATTAACTTCATTTTTGTAAAAAAAAATATAAATTTACTGAATTCTCTTAAAAATTAAATGGAACGCCTTTGTTTCGCTAACAGTTTTTCCCATCACATCAAACACTGCATTAAAAAATTCGTTTTAATGTAATTATCGATGTAATAGAAAAAGTAAGACACATTATTTAAACATATCAATCAATCAATCAATATTCTTTATTTCATCCGTCTTTCACAAGTAATGAAATGCGTCAAAATACAATCTATGATCAGTAAAAACTATAAGTACATAAAAACAGTTAACATAAAAACATATAAACTATACACAAAAACATACAAATTTTTAAAAAGATGCCTGCAAGTATTCTTCTAACGAATAGAAAGTGTTTACCCGAAGTAAGTCTTAACTGTTTTCTTAAATACATAAATATTTGACTCTTTAACATAATTAGGTAATTTATTATACAAACGAACACATGTTGGGTAAGGACCCTTGCCTACAACGGTCAAGTGACGAACAGGGGTCACCAAATCATTTTGGTAACGAAAATTGTAGCCACTCATTAAGGAAACATCATTTCTGCAAATAAAAATTGCATCTACATATGTGACTTTACATAAACAACACAACTGAATATATACAGCGAAGTTACAGTTAAAATATTTAATTGTTTAAAAATTGGTCTATAGGAATCCAAGCGCCTTCTATACCTCATGGTACGAATAATTTTTTTTAAGAACAAGCTCCTCATTAATTCCCGAGCAATTTCCCCAACAAAAACTAAGCAATATTGCAAAATTAACTGTACAAAATTCCTAAGTTGCCATAGAACATAACAGTGCACAGACAATCTTTCCACTGCATAATCAACTTGAGAGCTCCAAGACAAATTAGAATCCAGGCAAACACCTAACAACTTAGTGGAGTGGCTATTTATCACAGACCCATTGTCAAGTTTTACTAATGGGCTCATCTGCATAGTAGAAGGTGAAAAGGTTACCATATTGGTCTTTGATCCATTTGAGATTAGAGCATTATTTAAACAGTAATGAGTCATACTTTTTACAAGACAGTTTGCTTTTTGTACTACATGAAAATAATTATTGGAATTTAGTGCAACTGTGGTATCGTCAGCAAATTGAGTGACATAACAGCCTGATTGCTGTTCCACGTTTTCTACTCGAACTCTTATTGCATCAGAAAAATTATCTGATGGATTCTGAAGCAAACATGTTGAGCTATCGTTTATCGGTTGATTTAAATCATTGACGAAAATCAAAAATAAAAGAGAGCCAATGATACTTCCTTGTGAAACTCCGGAGAGGACACTTTCTTCTGAAGAAAATATTATATTCCCATTCACACTGACCATAATTTTTTGAAACCTTTTCGATAAAAAGATGTGGATCCACTTTAACGCAGTTCCTCTAACACTACTATGATAAAGTTTTTCCAGTATTGGATGATTTACAGTTTCAAAAGCTCGTGCTAAGTCAAAAAACAAACAAACATAGGCGTCACGTTTGTTTTTTAAGGGGTGCAATATTTCCAATAAAGTGATAATTTTGTACAAGAATGGAGTTAATATGAATATCTGAATATTCCATCGAAATGTCTCTTAAACGATGTGCCCACATGGTGTATCCGTATTTAAAATTAAGGGGTTGTTAAAGCTAACGAATATTACAAAATATTGGGGTGGAATACACTTTTCCAGTCTCGTTTTTGTAAGTATTGAACCGCAGATTTGTAACTAGAGCTATCTCATTATATATTTTATTTTTAGGAAAATTGGGTCATGGTAACAGCGACCGACAACGAAGACCACGCCAAATCGAGGTTCTTCAATTCGAAGAAGTTGTGCAAGTGGCGTGCGGCTTCAAACACAGCGCCGTGGTTACACGAGATGGGAAACTCTTCACTTTCGGCAACGGAGATTACGGTAGACTAGGCTTAGGTTCAACGTCTAATAAAAAATTGCCAGAGAGAGTAACCGCTTTAGAGGGATACAAAATTGGGCAAGTAGCTTGTGGATTGAACCACACTGCTTGCTTGTCTGCTGACGGGTTAAGCGTTTGGACGTTTGGTGAGGGTGATTATGGGAAGTTAGGTTTGGGACATGTTATTACAAAGTCGATTCCTCAACTAGTGGAAACGATGTGCAATGTGGGAGTTAAAAAGGTAAAAATGCATTTCATATATGTAAGGCATGTTTTTATAGTAAGTTCAGTCCATTTTTTTTTCATTTTTACATTTTGAGACTCAGCCGTTTTAAGAAAATTTGGTAGAATAACACAATGTCAACGATCTACGCAGTATCATAACACTTTGTAATTTAATTGAAACCAACAATGGATAAAGAGAATTAATTTTGAATTGGTTGCTTTACTTTTTTATCTATACTAAACAGTTTCTAATTGCAGGTCGGATGTGGAACTCACCTCACCGTTTTTCTCACGAATTCTGGACACATCTACGTATGTGGTGTCGATAGAGTTCCTTGGCAAACGCATCTTAGAGAACGATCAGATTGTCGGCCTTACCAGCTCTCTGGTCTGTCTGAGTATTTTATCGAAGATTTTGCCGTCGGAACCGAACATTGTCTCTTCTTAAGCAGTTGTGGCAAAGTGTTTGGGTGGGGAATGAACACCGAAGGCCAACTGGGATTACCTCATGTTTCCCTCGTCAGAGAACCGGAAATAATAGGCGAACTTTCCAATAAGGGCATCAAACAAATTTCCACCGGAAGGACCCACAGTGCTGCTTGGACGTCGATTCCGCCTCCAGTAAAGTCACCAAGGTGTGTAGATATACATTTTATAACATTTAAGAAAAAAGCGACATATTTTTATTTCAATTTTATCTTAGATGAGATACACAATTTAAAATATTTTTTATAATATGTACGTAACTTTGGAAAGTTTAAAAAAACTTGCATTGTTTTTACAGATACACAAATTGTTTAAGCTTTGGCCTGCCATCAGAAATCCCTCCGCAATACGATCACCTTCAAGGACTCTCCATAAAATCTATTCAATCGAGGTTGAAATTTTTATACAATTTCTCGGATAAACTATATTCTTGTTGGACTTTAATGCCATTGAGTGCTCAACAGAATGATTTACAAATTCCACCTTTGGAGGGACTAGTTTCTCCCAAGCTTAGGACATTACTGGCACCCAGAGTTTACACTTTACCGTTTGTCCGATGTATAGGTAAAACTATGGTGCAAGGAAAGAATTATGGACCACAAATAACAGTGAGAAGGATATCTCAAGAAGGTAAGATATTGTAGTGCGGTTGTTACTGCCTAACATGTCTTTTATCATTCATTGTATCACTAAAAGACAGATCATCATCATCATCATTTAGCTCTACAACTCTATGTGAGTCTTGGTCGCGTTTACTATTTCCCGATTGTTGTCGGTCCTGAGCAGCCATTTTCCATTGCTGTATTCCCATTTTGCGTAGATCACTGGCTACTGCGTCCTTCCATCTCTTTCTTGGGCGACCAAGTAACCTTCTGATGTCGGGCCTCTCCCAGAATGTGACGTTCAGTAGTCTTTCGTCACTCGATCTTAGCACGTGGCCCGCCCATCTTATTCTGTTTGCTTTAATGTAGCGTACTATGTTTTCATCTCCATATACTGTCTGGAGTTCATCATTGTGTCTTCTTCTCCATTCTCCTGTTGTCTCTTCTCTGCAAGGCCCATAGATAGTCCGCAGTATCTTTCTTTCCAGTACCATTAATTTTGTCGTTTGCCGCTGAACTGTTCCGAGTCCATGTCTCGCTTCCATACGTTATTGTGGGACGAATTATTGTCTTATAAACTCTTATTTTTGCTGGTATTGAGAGTATTTTTGATTTAAGTACGGTCATTAATGAGTAATATGACCTGTTTCATGTAATGATCCTGTCTGCCACGTCCTTTTCATATTTATTTTCAGATGATATGATCGCTCCCAGTTACTTGAATTCTTTGACGACTTTAGAATTGTATTCATTGATTGTTACGTTTTGTCTAACCATTGGCCTTGGGTTCTTCGTAACCACCATGTACTTGGTCTTGTCCTCGTTGACCTTCAGACCAATTTCCTTGTCTCCATTTTCGAAAAGGGTGAAAACTTCTTTTGCATCTCTGGTGGATTGTGCAATTATGTCCACGTCATCCGCAAACGCCAATAGTATTTTTGATCCTTAGGCAGCAAATCAGTTTGTCAATTGTGGTTGCGCTTTCCATACCGCATGTTCTAGTGCAAAATTAAATAGCAGGAGGGCGAGAGGATCTCCTTATCTAACCGCGATGTCAATGAGGAATTCCTCCGACGTGGTGCTGCCAATTCTGATCCGTGCGGAAGGGTTTTCTGTGCTCACCTGTGCTAATCGTACCCGCTTTTCAGGTACTCCCACTTCTACCATGGTCTCCCACAATGCTTCCCTGCTAACAGAATCGTAAGCTTGTTTAAAGTCCACGAAGATTTGGTGTACATCGCGGTTGAATTCCCAGTTTTTTCCTACACCTGGCGTAGGACGAATATCTGGCCTATGGTCGACCTTCCCGGTCTTAATCCGCTTTGGTAGTCGCCTATTATTTCCTCTGCTTATAAGTTAGTCTTCTAGACAGTATTATGGATATAATTTTGTACGTTGTACACGATTAACGATATTCCTCCATAGTTCCGACATATTTGTTTGTCTCCCTCCTTGTGGATAGGTACTGTATGGCTTTCATGCCAGAGTTTCGGTATTTCTTTTCTTTCCCAGACTTCTCTTATAAGATGATATATCTCAAGGTGGAGCTTTTCTCCCCCTATTTTTAGTAGTTTGACCTGTATGCCGTCTGGGCCTGTGGCTTTATGATTTTTTTGGGACGTAATTGCGGACTTTACTTCAGCTAGTGTGGGCCCTGATATTTCAGGTTCGGCTAACTGGTACTGTCTTTGTTGCCCTGTCATTGTGGGTTTTTCTGTATTTAAGACTTGCTCAAAATACTTTCTCCATTGGCGGCTTATCTCCTCGACGTCTGTGAGCAATTGTCCTGCATCGTCTTTTATATATCTTGGGCTGTTGGTCGTGTTGCCCTTCATTGTTTTTAGGTCCTTATAAAACTGTGTAGACTGACCGGTTTTATGTTCCTTCTCCAGTTGCTGTATTCACACTTCTAAGTACTTTTTCTTTTTCTTCTCAAAAGCCTTCTCGTTTGAGTCCTTACTCTGTTATAGTCTTCCCTGTTCTCATCTGTAGTGCGTATTAGTAACTCTAGCCTCTTGATTGTTTTCTGATGCAAGCTTTGTTCGCACTCCTGGTCAACCCACTGGTTTTTCTTCTTGTTATTCCTTTCTTTTCCTATAGTTTCCGCTGCGGTACTTTCTACGGCGTTCGTTATATTTTGCCATTTCTGGTCTATGGTCAATCCTAGCGTTGATGTTTTTCTTCTTCTTCCAGTGTCTGCAATTTGTTTTGGATCAGTGCCTGATATTGCCGTTCATTATCAGGTAAATCGAGCCTTGAAATGTCCCATGTGTTTCCTTGTTGGCGTTGCTTTGGCTGTCTCGTCTTTAGCCTTGTTCTTATTTTTGTTCTGACCAGGAAGTGGTCAGAGTCACTTTCTGTTTCCCTCAGACTGTGTGCACTGATGATATTTCTAGAATGTCTTCCATCGATAAGCACATGATCTATCTGGTTTCGTGTGATTCCGTCATTTGACACCCAGGTTACTTTATGTATATCTTTTCTTTGGAATTGTGTAGTTTTTACTACCATATTGTTGGCTACTGTGAATTCTGCCAGTCTTGATCCTTTATCATGAGTTTTATCATATAAGCTATGTGTGCCGATCACCGCTTTAAGATGGTCCTCTTTACTTAGTTTGGCATTGAAGTCTCCCAGTATGGTTTTGACCTCATATCTAGGTGCCGTTGTTTATTGTTGTTCTAAAATTTTATAAAATTCCTCCTTGTCCTCTTCATTTGCTTCTTCCGTTGGTGCGTGGATTGAGAGGAGGGTTAGGTTAAACCATTTTCCTTTGAGTCTTAGAGAGCACATGCACTTGTTGATTGGTTTGAAATCAATTATGGCAGACTTGAGGTTTCCGTTAACTACAAACCCACATCCAAATTCGTGCCTTTCTTCTTCTCCTGACCAGAAAACCAGGGAATTTTCCATTTGCAGGCTTCTCGATCCTGTCCATCTCATTTCCTGAATCGCTGTTACGTTCATCTTATATTTTTGAAACTGTTTTATGGCATGTGTTGCAATTCCGGGCCTGAACCAGCTTAACACGTTCCGTGCGCCTAAGAGAATGTACTTATTTCGAAGCTTGGGTTTTATAGCCTTATTCTGAGGCAATAGTATTCGATTCGTAGCGTCTTTCTTTTTCCATGTACGGATTGCTGGTCCATATCAAACCCCCTTTTCGGAAGACCATTTCTCCCTTCCTCATCTGCTCTGACCCTGCCTTCCACTGGGGTTGGTTACCCAATTTCCAGCAGGGTTGCTCAGGTTCTCCGGGTTCGCCCGTGCAGCTCAAGCGGCACTTCGTGGAGGTGAGGATAGGAATTGAGTAGGATAGTTTAGAGATGCTAACTGGAAACAGCATCTTGTATTGCGCCTCACTACCCCGTTTGAATCCCACTAAAAGACAGATCCCCAACTTATTTAATATGTTAATATATTTTACTGAACTCTTGCTAATGTTGATTTCTTATTCTAATGGATTTAATAGTAAAATAGCAATTTTTAATGAAATATTGTCCAGACACATTTACACTAATATCACAGACCAAAAAATGCATGGGTTACTTTGGTTAGTGATCAGAGTAGTAGTGTCTAGGGGCTCGGGAGACTGAGACCTCGGAAGCCCTGAAGAAGACAGCGAAGATGACGTCAAAAGCTCGACGCAATGATAATCGACGCGGTTCAACCCGGAAGACTGTTCAGTTTAATATTAATACATACAGGTGGATATCACTGGATAAATTAAAGTTTTTGTCTAATATTTAATTTAAAACATATCTAAATTTTTAGGTCGCAAATGTAAACCAATATTCGTTCAAATAGCTAAACAAGTCGTCGATATAATGCCAAACGAAATGAGACTGCCATCTAGAGCTTGGAAGGTAAAATTAGTTGGGGAAGGCGCCGATGATGCAGGAGGTGTTTTTGACGATACCATTACGGAGATGTGCCAGGAAATTACCTCTGGAGTTGTCCCGTTACTAATACCTACCCCAAATGCTGTAAATGACGAGGGATATAACAGGGATAAATTTCTCCTTAATCCTCATTTGAACTCACCGCAAAATATGTCGTGGTTTAAGTTTTTAGGTAAGATTTTAAGGACTTACAGTCTGTCCCAAACCCTTTTTTCAGTGCGTCATCAATTTTGACGTCATATAGGATTTTAAGAATGTCGAGAATTATTGCATGACATTTTAGTTAAATCTAACAGTTGCAGAATCGTAATCGGCTAAACGTGAAAAGGTTATTTTTTTTTAATGCATAGCAGTTTGTCATAATTCTATTCTATTCTGTTCTATTTTATACATTCCATGGAAAGTGCTTAATTAGCTAAGATTTGTTTATGGATTTATTATTATTTATTACAAACACTAGGGAATTGGAAGGTTTGTTTATTTAAAATAACGCTTCCTCCTAGAATCTTTTAAGAGTTGACTGCAAGGTAAAAAAATTTACTGACAATTGCAAGGCATCAAAGTAAACATTCCTGTGATAAAATAATATCGATTTAAATCAGTCATATTTGGATAAGTAATTTTCTGATAAGTTTGTGTGGCAGCCAATAGTTTAATTTTGTGAAGAGTTGTCATTAAATAGTGAAAATAGTTTAAATAGTGAAGCAGTTGATTTTTGAGTTAATCTACCAGTTCCGATATCCAGATGAAATCGTGTTAATGGAGTTTAGTTAAAACAACAAGATACCGAATGTAAGTTTACCTTCTTTTTTATGAATAACAAAAATGAATATTATATTTCAAACAATCTATAATCCCATTCAGAATCTGATTCTTGAAAATCAATGATTACACTAGATGTGTGGCTGGTATCAATTATATCCTACATTTCAAGAAAATGTCGTGGTTCTAAAAAGAACCGTTTTAATACATATAAATATCCATAAAGGTATTAGTTTAAGATATTTCCTCAATATCATTCCGGAATTCACAATTTGATTCGCGAACGACAGAAACTGAAACAAAGATGTCTTAGCGTCTTTTTCTAATTGAAACTAATTTAATAATTTTAATATTAGTGTTTTTTCATTCTGGGTATATCTCGGAATATTTAAAATATTTTTATGACAATAAATACAAAATTTAATTTTCACTGTAGTTAAAATGTCTGAAAATACTAACCTGGAATGGCAATTATCATTTTATCAGTTGACATTGTGAAAGTACTGTCACTGTCATTAAGATCATCTGTGTCAAATTATATTTATATGCATAATTGATTGGATATCTATTTAGCGTATTCTAAACTCCAACCAATTATACGTTCGTAAGTAGAATTCGCTTTAATATGCGAATACCCGTGAACGATACCTAATTTTCTAAGTTCTATGTATAATAATCAGCGACTCACGTTTTTTTTCTGTCACTTCTAGCTTAATGCGTTAGAGAGAATTCGAACAACTATGACGCACTGAAAGAAGGGTTTGGGACGGACTGTAAAAATTTCACTCTCAAATCAAACGTAAAATTTATCACAGATGGTAATATTTGACTCAGTAGATAAAATTTTTCTTGACTTCCTTTTATTATTTAGAATTAGTTTTTAAGCTATTAATCTAAATTTAATATGTATTTATAAATACAATTTAGTAATATATATTATATTATGATCAAATTGTGTAAGAAATCAAAACATAAACAAAATTCTTACTCTAAAAAAGCGGCAACACTTTATACATACCACACGCTTAACTGTCAATAAAATTTGTAAGTATTTCCATATCAGTTGCGTACAATTGTCTAATATATTTAATTAAAATTATTTAATTTTGTGGAATATTAGACTCAAAGAGTTATTTCACAAAATTTATATTATTAATAATAACAAATGTTTTTGGTTATTTAATCAATATAATTCTAAAATTTCCAATACAATGATGACTACATTTACTGATTATTCCACCATGTTGACGCCTATGAAAGATCGAGCAGTTCCGTATGGGTTTCGTACTGTGCTAGGAAAATTTGAACTCTAAGGTTGATGTTCTGGAAATTTTAAATACAAGTGATGTCACTTTGTATAAATCATGACGTGCAAGTGTTTTACTTTGAAAAATGGTATATATGCATATTATATAATTGATGATTTAATTTTTAAGGTATATTATTTGGTGTGGCAATCCGCACTAGAAAACCATTAGCTCTACCTATAGCACCAATGATATGGAAACTGATAGTTGGGGAGCCTTTAACAGTGGAAGATTTAGAGGATACAGATTGTATGTACATTCAAAGCCTTAGAAGTATTCGTGATATTCACCTTTCTGGTGTGACTGCCGAATATTTTCACGATATAATTCCATTGGAATGCTTTGAGGGCAGGAGTTGTACAGGGAAGGTAAGTTGATTTAGTAGTAAAAATATGCGGTATAGAGTTTAAATGACTAACTGATATTTCTTTTTCTATATGTTCTGTATGATGTAAATCTTTCCAGACATTTCACTTCAAACTCTTCTATGCTTTTACTGTAAAAATAGGTATACATGCGTGAGACCACTAAATGTCTGGGTAAAAACACTTTAAATGTTATTAAATTGGTTTTATATTACATTCTTGCTGATAATTCTAAAGGATGTTAAAGTTTTAAACGGATTTACTTCATGGCAGCGCAAAACTCACAACTGGGGTTGCTGGCCCTGAGACGTTGTTCCTATATGGACCTTAGGTAGCAACCCTAGTTACGTATAATACAATTTAATAATATTTAAAGGGTTTTTACCCAGATAGTCGGTGGCTTCACAGATATATACCTACTAACAGCACTGACAATAAAATATTCATTCCGAAAACGTAATTTAGCCCAAAAGGTATCTTTTTAAATTAATATACCTTTTTATAAAGGAATTTTAAATTAATTTTTTGTGATTTATGGTATTCAGCTGTCTACAGGAAATTAACTTTCCTTATGGATTTGTTTTATTTGTCAATAATTTTCTGTTTTGAGAGTAAAAGAGAAAAATCTTCTCTTTTACGCTCTTTCTCTCTCTCTCTCTCTCTCTGAAATCCAGGTTCGGTCATTTTTTAGGTTAGTTTACCTAAGTGGCTTTTTTGAGTTTCTCAGGAATCTTTACTAGCAAAATTGGTGGATACGTTCAAACTGATTCGCTGATTGAGGGCTTTCATTTGAAAATTACATTGAGTGGCAACTGTTTTATTTTACTAAAAGTATAGTTTAATTCCAACAGCGCAAGATAGATTTTCGAGAAGGCCTACGTCAACAGTGAATGACTATGGGCTGATGATGATAGTTTAATTCGTGCTCTGTTGTATAAAGATATGAACAAATAAAGTTTGTGTGTTTACATATTTTTGATAAATTGTTTTAAAAATATTTATAAAATTGTAATATATTTTAGGTTGTTCCGATAGTGCACGGTGGTCGCAACATTCCATTGACGTTCGAAAATAGAACGCAATACTACGAGCAGGCTGTGAAATTTAGAATGCAAGAGTTTGACATGCAAATAGCCGCCATTCGAGAAGGAATGGCGGGCATAATACCGGTTCCGCTTCTGTCTTTAGTCACTGCCGATTATATGGAACAATTGGTATGCGGCATGTCTCACATTTCGATTTCTATTTTGAAAAAAATTGTTAGGTAAGAAAAAACATAACAACTTCATTTTTTTATAACCTTTGTCAATGGTATTCTATTTATATTGTTTATATGTTGTCACAACTGTAAGCATTTGCGATGCTTACAGCCATCTTACTTTTCACATTGGCTAAGCATACACAACAAAAATGACCCCGGTAAGTGCCGGCAAGTACTTCTGACATTTAACATTGTTGCCGTTAACTCTCAGTTTAATTTGTAGATGAGTCACCTTCAATTGAAAATTGTTAGAGTATAGAATTTAGCTAGATTTTATCTACAAGTGTATTAAAAGTTTCGTTATTATGAAAACGTTATTTACTGGGGAAAATGAACTCATATTTGATTGATTGTTTTAGATATCGTGAATTAGACGAAAATCATCAACTAGTGCAATGGCTGTGGAATATTTTAGAAAACTTTACAGATAATGAAAGAGTTTTATTTATGCGTTTTGTATCTGGTAGATCAAGACTACCAGCTAATTTGGCTGATTTATCTCAGAGGTTCCAGGTAAATATTTATATTTCTACTTGCAAACGCCAATTATGATGAACTTTCGTCGCGCAGGTTTGATAACAACTCGTTTTACAGACGTTGGTTAAGTATTCATATAAATAAAACAGTGGCAGGCATAAATCTGTCTGAATAGCAGATAGGTAACTGTATGCGAAAATACGTAATTTCGCACACCTCACCATAATTGGCGTTTTTTGTTTATTTCAATGCACTTGCTAAAATGAAAACTATTTTTAGGTTATGAAGGTGGATAAAGCACCAAACGGTTTACCAACAGCGCAAACATGCTTCTTTCAACTTCGTTTGCCCCCATACAACAGTCAAGAAATAATGGCTGAGAAGTTGAGATACTCTATTAATAACTGCAAATCCATCGATATGGACAATTACATGCTGGCCAGAAACACTGATCAAGGAATCGGCTCTGATGATGAATGGAACTGAAAGATAAGACATTTTATATAAGGCTGAATTTGATAGTTACTATATAAGACATGGTTATCAAAGTTATTTATTGGATTTTGTTTTGATTTCAAATGCATTTGTCCCATTTACTTTCAATAAAATGGATTAAATGTTTTATTTATCTTATTTTTTACATTTTTTAAAACCGTATGGTAGAATTAGCCTATCGACGAATTGTTCGGTGATGAAAGAGGAGATCTGGAGCACATAGAACTTACGTCAGAAGAAATAGGTTCATATATTACAAAAGAAGAAATGTTACACGCATTAAAAATAATGAAGAGTGGGAAAAGCCCTGGACCTGACATGCTTAATATAGAAATCCTAATAATTCTAGATGAGAAGCACGTTGATGTTTTAGTGACACTTTTTAACCAAATTTATAGTTCAGGCGTATTACAAAGAGTGGTTAACGTCGATTTTTATTTGTCTCCCCAAAAAGAAAAACGCAAGAGAATGCAGCGATTACCGCACCATTAGCTTGATGTCCCATGTGCTAAAGTTACTACACTTCATCTAATTTATATAACGATGCACGTCATCGGCGTCATAGCCTGTGGCGTCACATGATACCAACACAAAATATTTAGGGTGTAGGTATGTTCTTTTTTAGAACCACTTTACCGAGTACACTGACATTACAGCCACTAGACATATTTTATTATATACGCGTAGAAATCATATTTAAAAATTTCTATTAATGTTAAATTGAAGAAATACACAATAATATGTTTCATTTAATTTGTATATGCATTATAAAGCGTTTTTATCAAGAACATTTGTTCGGAACACACTGTAACTGTAATCGAACGAAGGTAAAATTTTGGCATAAATTGGTAACACTTATTTGACAGTTGCGGTGTTGACACCTTTTGTACTTCATTATTTTGAATTTTAAAGTGAATATTTCTTGTTTTATATTTTTAACTATCTAATAAAATCTGTTCTTTTTAGAACACAATTAGTGTGTTTTATTTCAAAAATGTCACGTAAGAATTTAAATAGTCGTTGTAAAGAGATATAATACTTTTGCAATAATTATGTAATCCATTTGATTTAAAATGGAGTCAGGATTTTTTTATACTTTGGTAACTATGTCAACTTCGATCTCTGACGTAGATAATGACGTAAGTCGTTATCTAAATTAGATGAAGTATACTAAAAGTTATCCATAAACCGAATATATCACAAACTTGGCATATACGTTAATAATACACAATTTGGTTTTTGCAAAGGCCTAGGAACGCGTGAAGCTTTTTTTTACTTTTGGACCTTGAATGCGACATCATTGAAAAAACTGGAATCATTCGACCTGTCGGTGTATAGAATAATTCTGAAAATATCGTGGATAGAACACGTCACAAACGTTCAGTAAATTTTTATTGTTATTTTCTGACTTTTTGTAAGCTTTATCCATCAAAATTGTACACTTTTCAGTGACAATGAAGCATATTTCTATTTTATTCTATGTTGGCACGCCAAATCTAAGTTTCACGTTTTTAAGAAATTATTGGATACGTTCTTATGAACTATTTTCCGTGTAAGAGTGGGAAAAATTGTAGATAGAATGTAAATTATTGAGGATGATTTCATTTCAAAGGAACCATTATTTGATGATGCCATAAAATTATGTATTATTAATTATTCATGAAGATTCTGATAACGAAGATATATTCTGACTCATGACACAGGCATTGATGACAGCCATGAGAATTTCCATTTCTACTACTTCTATTATTTTTCTATCTTTTTTCGTGTCTGAAAAACTTCTGCCCTATAAGTCATAATAGGCTCTACCAAGGTTCGATAGATTCTCATTTTCGTTTCTTGTCTAATATCTGTCTATTTTCGATGTCTCTTTTGGTATGTGTTCTTTAGATATTATAGATCCGAGATATTTATATTCATTGCATATTTTTGTGTTTCTAATTTCTAACTCTGTATCTTCTTCATCATGTCCTATTTTAAGATACTCTGTCTTTGACATATTAGGGCCCCACTTTTCATATTCTTTCTTAATTTTCTAAACATGTAGTCCATGTCTTCCTAATCATTCCTACGACTACCTGATCATCTGCGAAAAATAAAGTTGTTAGACTTACCGCCTATGTCTATTCCCATTCCGGATAATTGTTTTCTCCACTCTCTAGCGATGATTGAATATATATTTAAAATAAGGTCGAAGATAGACAACATCCTCCTTTATGTCCCTTTGTTATCGAAAATAATTCAGATATAAAGTTTCCTTCTTTAACGACACTTCTTGCAGTTTTGTATATATTTGCGTTAGCATCCACATACTCTCTACTGAGACCTACTTTCGTCTATGTTTGAATCATTTTTTTCAAATGTACCGTATCGTATGCCTTCTCTAAATCTACAAACAATAGGTGGATAGATAGATTCCTTGCCTTCCGTTTTTCGATTATAGTAGCCTCGTATTTCCGTGCGACTGTGCAAAAATATATGTATCTGTAATAAAATCATTCAACAAAAAGGTACTCTACCAGGAGTCTGTAAAATTATCAATGACTCAGACGTATAATAATACAAAGTTTCCAGATTCCACTCGATATTAACATTCAGACATACCTGGTATAATCTTTTAAAATATGAACCAGATATGAACATTCAACCAATTAAGTTTTCATCGAACTTATGATAAGTCCACGTGGACTAACGGCCAATGAAAACATCGGATATCGCTGTTATGACAAATCATAATGGATTATTTTTTGTCGCTAGACTTATTCATACTTGGGGTAAGATTATATCACTATTTGACTGAGCTTACGGAGTCATAAAATAAGGGATCAGGTTTCGACAGTGCCGAAGGCACGGGACGGGGAAAACTTAGGTAGGCAAATTTTTATTTTTAAATTGCGGATATGACCAACAGATTTTTGGGAGACAAGAATATTTTTAGTAAAATCATAACTGCTACAGCGTTCAGTTAAATTCAAATTTCAAATAGTGAACCGCAAGTTAGTTTGGTAGTGACTTTTTTCAGTATTCTTTATACGGAAAACATTTTATATTTTACGTTTTTTACTTTTTTTGATACATTTTTACGTGATTATTTTTATACGTTTGATAATTTTAAAATATTGCGTCCGTGGTGCGATAATAATTATGTAGCTGAAGAGACAATGGAACCCTCTAATCGATTGGAAGATTTACAAAGGCGTGTAGTAAAACTTAAGCGACATTTTCAATACCTTTCTGATGATGCCAAACGTATGCTAAAAAATGTTTATGAAGGACTGTGTGCTGAATTGTCTAAATTAGAGGCAATTGCAGAAACATGTTTTTTAACCAGAGTGCCCAAAGCAACCTGCTACAAAATTATAGGAGAAACATCTTCTTCTAGACAGAAGAGAAAGGATTGTGGCAAATTCAGAAAAATAGAACCGCACTTAATTGAATCTATAACTAGAACAATATACCAAATGTATGCGGCTAATATTTTTCCAACTATTGAAAGCCTCGAAGTGATTAGTTCGAAAGGCATTCTCTCGTATTCAGCAACACACTTCGTTATTTCTTAAAGCCAATAATTTTAAGTACAAAACTATAGACAAGAGACAGACATTAATGGAAAGTACTAGAATAATTTCTTTAAGAAACAATTATATCAGACAGATAACTGAGTATCGAAAAATGAAACGAAATATTGTTTATTTAGATGAGACCTGGTATGATACTCATGACACCGTGAAAAAAAAGTTGGAAAAATAATAACAAAAAGTGGTTTCAACTCAGTACCGCCCAATAAAAGAAAGAGGATTACAATTTTACACTGCGGTGGAGAAAATGGATGGGTCGACGATGCATTATTAATATCTGCAAAACAAATTAAAAACGCGTCTCTGGATTATCATGACGATATGGAAAGTTCAATTTTTGAATCATGGTTTGAAAAATGCCTTCTTCCGAAATTACTTAAAGATAGTGTGATTATCATGGACAACGCATCATATCATTCAAGATTAATGAAAAAAACTTCAAATAATAGTTGGAATAAATTAAAATTCAGGAATTTTTATTCACGGAAGATTTGTATTTTGAGACATCTTATATTAAAAAGCAATTGTTGGAGGTTGTTCATAGTAAACAGTACGAAAAGGAATATGTTGTTGACAACTGTGCTCGTAGTAACGGGCATACTGTGTTTAGACTTCCTCCTTATTATTGTACATTGAACCCAATAGAGTTAATATGGGCTCAACTTAAAGGAAATATAATGAGAATAAACGTTGCTCCAAATTTTTTGTCTACTGTTCTCTAGTTAATTAGAAGAGAAGTCACAAAAATTACAGCAACCAACTGAAAAATGTAATAAAAATAAAACATGTAATCGGAGTGGAAAATGACTATGTTAAATATTTACCAGCATTAACCAAATTACCTATAAATTTAGATGATACGAGTGATACTAGTGATAACAGTTATTCTGAGTAGATAGTAAGTACTTATTAGGTGTTAGTTGAAACCTTTATTTCTATTTTAATTGTAGATATTCTCATTTTGCTTATATATCTTTGAAAACAGGGTATAAACACACTTCTTCATAGGACAAAAATTATTAATGTTTTAGGGGAGTATGTCAACTGAAGCTGTCACTGTCATTCTCGCTGAATAACTACTATTATACAATGTTTTATATATATTGTTTTACAATAAGTTCTGTTCAGTCGAGTCGTTATAAATTTTAAATAATTAAATACAACTCATACAGTCATTATTTTGCAAAACAATGATTCATGTAAACAACGATTTCTATATATACTGTACTTTAAGCCACAAAAGAATTCTGCATCCCTCCTCTGGTTTGCGCGTAGCTCACGTCTATTGCTCTCCTGGGCGTATAGTTAAGACATCAAGAGGGAAAACATGACAATAATTGAGAGGGATCGAAGAAGAGAGTAAGAGTATCATCAGTACTCACATATGCGCATCCCTAAGTCTTGATCGCGTTT